AAAAGCAGGGTATTATTATTATTATTATTATTATTATTATTATTATTATTATTATTAATAATAATAATAATAATCCTAGATACTTGGGAAGGATCTGACATGTGATCCAATACAACAGCCAGCAGACTGATCTTGTTTTCTGTGGACTCATCTTGTTGTGTTTCAAATACTACTACTACTACTACTACTACTACTACTAATAATAATAATAATAATAATAACAATAATCGGTTAATAGGTATTTCCTGGATTTTCAGCCTCACATGCCCAAGTAACTTGGCTGTCCTTGAGAGCTATGTACCTGGAAATGGGAGAAGGGGGGGCATCATTTGCTGTTTTGCCTTAAGAAGCAAAATATCTTCAACCATCCCTGACCAGGATAATTGGATATGCCAACTCATCATATCTTGGGGTAGGTTTACTACCTAGTTTTAGCCTGTTGGTCCTACCTCTTCTACAGTTGCCTTTAAATAGTTTCTCACTTATGACAACCCTAAGATAATCCCACCACATGTTTTCTTGGCAAGATTCATTTACAGGTGGGTCTTTTGCTGAGGATGAGAGAGTATGACTTTCTCAGGATCAACCAGTAGGTTTCCAAGGTCAAGCAAGGATTTAAACCTCCTAGAGTCCAAGTCCAAGTGTAGTCCACTCAAACCACTACACTGTACTGCCACTCTTCACCCATAATAAGAAACCACTGCATTGGTTGTCTGTAGTTGAGACACAAACTTTGTCCAACAACCATTTTTGGTGGGTTTGTGCAGGTTTTAGGGAGAGAACAAAACCTTATTGAAATAACAGTAGGGGAGAAAAGATATTTATACCCTTCTCTGTGTACAATGCCCAACGAATTCATCTTACATCTGGGGTATATTTCTTCTGTGAAGCTGTACATCCTAAACAACAACAATCACATTTTGTTTTTGAAAGTGGGGAGGGGAGGAGGAACTTTCAAAAAAACCTATTATCTCATTTCGAGTCTAACGTGAAAAGACACCCTTGAGACTCAAACATCTTCTTCAGCAATATTGCGTTAGAATGAAATGGAGGGAACAGAGCACTGTGTAATGCATACATATTCAGTTTTCTCATTCCAATGAAAACTCTGCCCCTTCCATTCTAATCCAGGTTCAATTTTAACCTCGTTCATTAGTCCCTTAAAACTATTCCATTAAATAGGTCATTCAGCTCAATGGTCCCCACTTGATGAATCCTTATCCAATGCATGATAAAGCAGAGGTTCACAAAGGTATCTTCTTTAGAAAATTGCTTTCGCCACATCTGTATTCTCTCGTCCTTTGTCAGAAATCCAGACATCCCCCCCACTCTCTGCATGTTGCCTCCATGTGGTTTATCTCCTTCGTTTTCTATGTCCATTGTAGCATCCGCTTTCAAATTGCATTTTAATGTGTTTCACTCTAATATCCAGTAATCGATTTTCTTAATTGCTTTTTCTATTCACTAACAGCAAAGCAAAAGAAGATAGTATCAGCAAAGCTGACTATAGATTCAGGGCCTGGAGGCATGTTCTTTTACATGGGCAAATGTCCCATTCACATTGGTTGGGCTCCTTTTTAAACATTCACACAAAAGATGAATTCCTAATCAAGTGGATTCCTGAGACATTCAAAGGAAAGATGAGTTTTAATCATACCCAGGCATGTAGCCGGGGGGGGGGGGGCTGCTTGAGGGGCTTCAGCTTCCCCCACCCTAAAATTCTCAGGGTGATCTGCGAGAGGGCCTTACTGGTACATTATTTAAACTGTTATGTTTATTCATATCATGATCTGATCACCATGCTCAATATATCCTATATGCATGGGGGTATTGGGATAATGATACAAAAGGTTTACTAGGGTTCTTAATGGTTCTGGCCCAGTTTACTTGTCCAAACGTATCTCCTACTATAATCCACCTAGGGCCCTAAGATCATCTGAGGAGATCCTGCTCATTATCCCCCCATTGTCACAATTGCGTCTGGTGGGAAAAAGGGACAGGGCCTTTTCTGTGGTGATCCCCCAGCTATGGAACTCCCTCCTGAGTGAAATTAGATCTGCTGCATCCCTCTTGACCTTCTGGAAACAAGTAAAATCCTAGCTATGGGATCATGCCTTTGGAGAGTAGGCTGACCTACTGACGTGTTGACTTATTTAGAATTTATGGATAATGATTTAAATCTGTGACCGCTGATTTGTTTCTGTTTTTATATTGTTTTTATATTGTTTATACGGTTTTATACAGTTTATACTGTTTTATATTGTTGTTATTATTACATTGCTGTTAATTGCATATTTATGTTTTGATGTGGGCGCCATGGGGTGCCACTTTGTTAGCCATCCCGAGTCCCTCTGTGGAGGTTGAGATAGGATGGATATAAAAGCCCTAAATACATACATACATAGTTACATACATAATAGATCCTCACCCCCCCCCAAAAAAAAAAATCAAAATTCTGGCTACGGACCTGATCATACCTAATGGTCCAATAATAAGATACCTCCCTCAGTTTTTCCTCTTACACCTGAAGGCCTCACCAAATCCAGTCCTACCATTCAATGGGTCATTTGGAGTGTCACTAAAAAGACAATTAATTGTTAGTTAATTAATTCATTATGAGTTTCTCTTTTTGAGCACCAAGAGAGGTGCTTTTGGATCTTCTGACCCAAGCTGAAATAATTTGGCCAGCTTTTGGTAGGATGCACTTTCACGTCAGATAAGGGTGTCGTGTGTTTTCAACCTTAGGCTGAAAAATATTTAGGTCTGGTCTTGCAGATAGTTATACAATCCTTCTACCTACTTTTATCACAAAGTTCCCATACTTCCAATAGATACAGCCGATCTCTAGGAAGAAATAGGAAAACAAAAAGAAGCAGTATGGAAAGTCAATCCTTCCTCAGTCAATAATTCCCTGAATATTCCATAATTCAGTACCTAATCATCAACAACAATGCTCTAAGGGTTCAGATCTGTAGAAATTTACTTTGGAATAAGTCCCACTGCAATCACTGGGGGTCACCCAAGAGTAAATATACACAAGCATGTAGGGTAAACTATGCACAAGATGGTGCTGTGTAGGCTTGTACATATATATTTGAACTAGACATTATATCATTGAGCCAGACAACTTTGTGCTGGACTAGAACACATACATATGAATAAGGTGATCATATGTAGAAGGGAATAGAATTTCTGCATATTAAAATGTTGTGTAGAAGACACAATTTCAGCAGGTGTAGCTATGAAAGGGATAGATGTGTTGACGTCTTTGGCCACCACACATGTGAAATAGCACTATAGGAAATCTTGCCACTGGAAGTATAAACAGGGTGTAATCCTGAACTTATTAATATTTGTTTTGCGTGGAATTGTCCCAAATACAAGAAAATGCTATTTTCAAAGCCTACATTGCATCCCGGGATCTGTGCCATTATTGCCCTTTCACTATGCTCAACATAATAATATGGAAAGCTGAAGCCTCCTCTAGCCTTATCATCTCTCCTCAGGCCATTCCAGTACTGAATTATTCTCCAACTGCCATGCATCACAGTGAGCTTTCTGATTTCTTAGGTTTGTTTGTTGGCATTCTAGATAATCTTGCCAGTCTTCCTTCCTTTCTCCTATAGTAGGAGGAGGGTAAGAGAGACCAAGATGAACAAACACAGAAGCTCTGAAAGCCAATGATGTATTGCAACCCCTGAGATAGGAGTAGATAAACTGTCACCACAGGCTGCATATGACATCTGGTTTGCAGTTTTGTGGCCATGAAGTCCCCCATGAGATCCTAAAACCAGCTCAACCTCCATTTAAAAAAAAAACTTTAGCACACTTTCCAGGCATTTTTGGCTGCAAACCCATGAAAAAGCCCCCCCGTTCATAAAAGTATGAACAAATACCCACTATGCACATATGCATCCAGAACTCTGTATTACATCCACTTTCTTTTACAACAAAAGAGGATTGTAATGCTGATAAAGAAGCAAAATCTTCTTTCTCTCTAATGAAAAACATTAATTTTATTTCCCTTATCTAGCTTCTCAGTGCTACCCCAAATTAATACTTAAGGCACATGTGTTAAACTCAAGACCCACAGGTCAAATCTGACCCTCCATGTCATTTTATGTGTCCCTCCAGATGTTGGATTACAATTCCTGTATTCCTCACCATTAGACATCATAGCTAGAGCTGGAAGGCTACCGTTTGTTCTGTTTAATCAGGATAGTGGGGTTTGAATGTATATACAAGGCTTGTAGATATGATGCTTGACTTTAAAACGACCTTCGACCTTATCCCAACCTGAGAGCCACAAGTGCTGTTGGGTTGCAATTCCCGCTATTCCGAGTCTGCATGGTAGATCATCAAAAGGAGTTATGGGAGTTGTCATTCAGTAACATCTGGGGACCCAAACTGGATAAAAACTAAAGAGCGGCCCTCTGTATCCATTGATTCTTTATTTATGCATTCAACAACCCTTTAAAGACAGCTATAGGATTGATGTGGCCCTCAGTGAGTTTGACACCCCTAGCTTAATATTAAATGAATGCAATGTAAAGCTATCATTCAGTATATGGAGGTATGTGTGACATTGTATCTGGGGACAACTATACAGTGTAAGTCATGCCTGCTTCCCTCCCCAGGCAGTCTTGTCAATGGACCAAACATGACAGAATGCCATTAAGACATAAGAAAAATCTGCTTTCCCCCAATACAGACCGTGCCTTTATTTATTTATTTATTTATTTAAAAAGCCCTATGCTTCCTCCAAGTAGCACAAAATGACGTAGTTCTCCTCTGCTCCCATTTGAGTCTCACAGCAGGAGGACAAAATGCTGAGGCTGAGAGGCATCACCTTGCACAAGGCAATCCTGGGAACCATGTTGGAATAGACATTTGAGCCGAGACTTCGCTCATCTCGAACTTGGATTATAATGATTCTATTGTAATTTAGAAGCAGAACATATAATTTTACTAATATCTTCAAAGGCAACAATTGTACTTACCAAAAACTGTTCTGGCAGGAACGGATTCCTTGTTGATCCAAAATGAAACTTGGGAGAGGATTACAGTCATGATGCATGGAATGTATGTTTGTATCATAAAGTAACCCATTTTTCGTCGGAGGTGGAAGTGTACGGTCATTACAATATATTCACCTTTTTAAAAAATGAGAAAAAATTAACATACTAAAAGCATTTTTTAAAAGATGTTCAGATTACCTACCCAACCTCATTTCAGTTGCAACTAGTTTAATATTAAATCCCTCCAGAAAAGCATTAAAAAAGGAAAATCTGGCTGCCATACCCTCTTCTCCAGAACTCTACTGGTACATCATTTTTATGTGCCAGGAGAGCTCTGGAGAAGGGGAATGACCACCAGGTAAGTTATTTTCCTTTTTAATGCTTTTCTTGGGGGGGGGGGATTGTGTCCCAGTGCCCTGCTGGGAAGTCCAGCAGGGCATCTCCCCCGCCCCCCAGGAAAGTGTAGATGTTGGGAGGAGGTGTCCAGACTTTCAGGACCTGCACACTAGCAACAATTCCAGGGACACTGATATATTTTGAACAATTTGGGACAGCTGTTGTGGTGGCAGTGATATGTGTGTGTGTATCATAAAATTGTCTAAGTCAAGAAATTTTCAGAGGGGTTTTTCCAGTCCTTTCATCCTACAGCAACTGCAATTTGTTAGCACCTAATGGTTAGCATCTGAGCCAGATTGTGGGGCTACAACTCCACAAAGCCTCCCAGTGAGAGAATTCACCAGTAACATACTGGCTGCAGAATTATGGGTGTTGTAATTCCAAAAGTAACTTTTCAAATTGTGAATCAGTATCCATCACCCTCCCTGTCCAACATTATTTTCTTTTTTTCTACCCAGGGATGAATCTATACTATAGAATTAACGTAGTTTGACACCACTTTAACTGTCATGCTATGGAATCCCAGGAGTTGTAATTTTAGACTTTTTTTAGCCTTCTCTGCCAAAGAGTACTGGTGCCCCACCAAACTCCCAGGATTTAATAGAATATGCATCTCTGGTCTTCCAAGCCAGACCAGATACCTAAATTAAGGCTATCCTTGAAATTTCCTCTAAGTTTCTCACTATCGCTTTGCTCTCAAGTACTGTGAGAAATTAAAAAGGTGGCTATTTCCACCCATGAAGAGCAACTTGGAACAATCTTGCCAGGGTAATAAAGAATAGAATCCACCTTTCACACTGAGCAATGGAAAGTTGCCTTTTAACACAACTTGTCCACTAGGGCTTTCCTAGTTCTCTTAATTATGCAAAGGCCCTCAAACCTGGAGCACATAGACCAACAGAGATAGGTACACTGGCTCTAATTTATGTAGTGTGTGGTATGTGTTATGCATAGATCACAGAAACATACTGAACATCTTTCTGTAGGAAAGTAGAACCATCTTTATACAAGAGAGCTGCATGATGACAAGACAGGAACACAAATCAAGGTGGACCACCAAGACTGCAGGTCCACCTTACACAAGCTAAGATATGTTTCCAGTCCAGTGCGGAAACAACCATGGAGACTAAGATGCTTCAGAAAATTTCATCTATGTCCACTGAAAAAAAGTAGAATGGATATAGGTCCACTTGGAAAGCAACAGAATAGTATCTCATTCTATTCTCCTTTGCATACTGATCAGCCCCTTCCAAATCCTCCACACATGAGAAAATGGATTTCAAAGTCAAGAACCAACGCTTATTTGAAATAGATATGAAAAGGGACTGTCAATCACGTAGCACACCACAACACATTTCTGCTTTCTTTTGATATTCAGCTACTACCTAGACAGGAGTATGAAAGAAGACACGAGTTTCACAGGTAGTTTATAAGCTGTATTAAATAGATGAGAAGCTCATGGTTTTCCTCCATCACTGAAAGGAACTAAAACGGGGAGTATTGGGCTGGTTTGTTTTCTGAGCCCTTGGAGATTGCCGAGAAGCATTTGATTTGTTGCGACCCAAGTCTGGACAGCACACAATCTTATCTTACTACCTACTTTGTCTTCATAATCCCCTTCCTTCTTCAAAAACAAAGCATGACAGAACTGCTTGATTAATTGTCATGCTTCCATCCATCTTCCCTTTCCACCCACTTAAAGGAAAGCTATAAACAACTTGTGGCCTTCTGGTGAAAAATTATTGTATGCACAAATCATTCTCCATTTTGGCTGCTTTGCAAACTTGACATTAGAACAAAGGAGAGCTACTGTAAAGGCACCTAGGTGGGAAACCTATTCTTCACTACACAATATTGTCAAAAAGTGCTGCACAGATTAGAGGAACCTGCTGAGATTTGACCAAAATTCGGGAGCCTGTTTCCTTGGGAGCAGAAAAAGATCTTGGATAGATGTTTCGTGATAGATCAATGATGTCTCACTTACTCATAATACCCAATATATTAGGAAAATATTGCTTCATTTTGCTATCAATAATGCCACTCAGAAATCTGTCAGTTACATCTGTTCCCACTGTTGCTTAATTCTGTCATGATCTCTGTTGCAACATTTTTAACCACACCAATAAGAGATTTTTTAATAATTGCATTTTGTAACAAACCATTAAAAAGAGAAAGAAGGAATGAAAGGGAGAAAAGCGACACCCACAGATCTTAAGCACCAGCAGTTCTCTTGCCGTCATTGCCTGTTGCTATTTTCTCACACCATGTGCTCAAAAAAAAAAAGCCTCAGCAGTAAGGGCTGTTATATTTTCCTGTGTCTGTTCCAGCTGCCTTTTTAATATAGATGTATTTCGACAATCTGCATGCTGTTTGTAGTATAAGTCACAACTGCAGCTCAAGATTTACAACTGTATAGCTACAAAAAAAAATGTCAGTAGCAGCAAACTGAAGTTATATGGAGTGCATCTTCATCCATTTTCACTTCACTTTCAGATGGGAGACAGCATTGCAGCTTTAGTGTAAGCCTAAAGATAAACTGTCTGAGATCTGTCAGCTCCTTATGCTTCGCAGACTGCCTACACGAAGATCTTCTAAATATCTTTGCTGGAAAGAAAATTACACCACTAATTCCACACTTCAAATTGATTATCAGCTACCAGATTCTTACCTGTAATGGATTTAACAGTGTCAGTCGATGCTGTATGCCCAAGGAGATCATACTGAACTAAACTGGAAGACTCTTCAGGAACTTCCACTGAATGCTGAGGTCCTTTTGTCCAAGTGTAAATCATTTCACTCTTTGGATATGCATCTGAATAACATATATGTAGAACACAGAGACAGATATGGGAGAGACTAGGCTTAAGAACTGATCTGATTTTTCCTAAGGTCAATGAAAACATTCTTATTGATTTCAAATGACCTCGGCACTCAATGATAATGCATATGTATAGCTATACTTTGATTATTTATTAATTTACTGTATTTATATATCACCTTTCTCACCTCTGAGGGGATTCAAAGCAGTTTACAACATCAAACAGAATTAGGAGGTCTCTACCACACAATGTGCAAAATATGCCCTGTAAAGACATTTTTTGGTTCACTACCTGCTGCAATGACAAAAAATATTTCTATGAAAAATGAATTTTGTTCTGATACACCCCTCCCCAAAAGAACCCAGGTCTGGTGCCATTCACAGTTGATCCTACAAGCTGAAATAGTGCCCCTTTTATCATTTGATGTTGCCATTCCCTTCTATGTCACAATGTCAAATACAATAACAGCTACTTACAACTCCCAAATTTGAGAGGACAGGCATGACCGTCCATTGGGAAATCCACCAATCTCATGGGGCATTCGGCACTTATGGTGAGCCTACAAATAACAAGATGCAATTAGTTCTAGTGGGATTTTTTCCAGTAGTAAATATTAGGGGTGTGCAATTTTTCATTAGTCCTCGTAAGTCGGATCAAATTAGTTAAATTCATATTTACGAGGTGATATCTGACACATGAGCATGGCCAATCCCAAAAACTTAAGAATTGAAACTTACCCAATACTTTTTCATTTGCATTTTGTAAAGCTCAGAAGCCTCCTACAATCAGTTTCATTTTCAGTGCAAGTAAGCAAAGCAAAGCCAAAGAGGCTGCCTCTCCTCTTTAAATTAATGGCCTCTCACCATTAGGGAAGCAGCAGGGAGGAAACACAGTTCGCTGGTGAAGAAAGCACAGAATTCTGGGAAATGTAGTTTGGGAAGGTGAGAACCCCTGTGGCAGAGAATTAAAAAAGCCCTGCCCTAAACTGTATTTCCAAGAATTCTGCTCAGGATCAGAAAGCCCCAATCAGGAGAGAGGAGAGATTTGTCCCTCCATAGCATCAGCCAGCCAGAGTTCCAATAAATTGTTGAATCTGCAAAGAGGAAGACTGACTGATACTTTTAGTAAGTAAATCTCAGTGTTGGGCTGGGAAGAAATCCCTACATTGAAGTTTTGTTGGTTAATATGAGAGACATTCAATGAGATAACTGTTGGGCTTTTAAAAAATGTTTTTGTCAAAACTTTTTTAAAATCCCTAAAATTAATAGATGTATGAATATTTCTGAAAGTTGGTGGAAATGATCCCCTGTTATCTTGTGTCATTGTATCAAAAATTCAAAGAAATAGCTATTGTGGTTTTTGTTTTTAAAATGTTTAAAATATAAAAACGTTGAAAATTCCTCAAAAATCTGTGGATAAGTGAAACGTTCTGGAACAGTGGTAAATGTGTTCTACCGTTGTAGCAAGTTTATTTATTATTTATTTATTTACTTTATTTATATACCGCTTTTCTCAGCCCTCAGGCGACTCAAAGCGGTGAACAACATCAATACAAAACATCACGAGACAAGTATAGGGCAATTAAAAACAATTGTAACATAACAATCATGTATAACAATCATTAGCACCTCAACATTAAAATCAGAATCCAGTCTCATCATCCATTATTCCGTATTCCTATGTTCAATTACACTGTTTAATCAAATGCTTGTTCGAACAGCCAGGTCTTCACTTTCCTCTGAAATGCCAGAAGGGAGGGGGCCGATCTGATATCTGCAGGCAGGACGTTCCACAGCCGACGGGCTACCACTGAGAAGGCCCTGTCTCTCGTCCCGGCCAAGCGTGCCTGTGATGCAGGCGGGACAGAGAGCAGGGCCTCCCCAGATGATCTTAGTGTTCTAGCCGGTTCATAGGAGGAGATGCGTTCGGAGAGGTAAGTAGGGCCAGAACCGTTTAGGGCTTTATAGGCTAACGCCAGGACTTTGAATTGTGCCCGGTAGCAAACCGGCAGCCCTGAAGTTCCCCCAATTATCATAATTAGGCACAATTTCTATGATGAAAAAGTAATGAAATTTCGTTACTCTCATTATAGTAACGAATTTTTCACTATACTTTAGAAACACTTTAGAAATGAAATGTCAGTGCCCCCTAATTTTGTAATGAGTTTTGAAACATTTATTTTATTGATTACACATGCCTAGTAGATATCTCATATAAAAAATACAGAAACATACATTGATAAAATCACCTACCTCATTGTATACAAGATGGTGCCATTTCTCATTATTCGAAACAGTTTATTTGGAGCTGTCATATTATGTGCAACAGATTTTTTCCCATTCCGGAAGAAAGTGTCTGGTGTCCAGACTTTGGTAACCATTAAGTTGTTTAGTCTTAGAATTTCAATTGGACCATCATATCTTAATCTCTTATCTACCCAAGTCTGGCGGAAAAAAACATCCATTGTGTATTCCTATAGCAAATTGAAAGAAATACAAACTTAATATGTTTTAAATGCATAGCCCTTTAATGAAAATCCCTCAAGGACAAATTAGTCATTGCTAGCTGTACACTCCCTAAACATATTTCTGTCAATTAAATTGAAGTATCTCTACTCCTTAATGCTTTAATTTGCCACATTAGTCATATAAATACATTGCTATACATATTAAAGCAATCAAAAATAATGTCTATAATCTAATAGAATAGCAAGAAGCACACAATTAAACTTGTACTCTTGCACAACACTGGAAATAAAATAATTAATTTGCTAACATATGTTAATGATGTTTATGTCCATGCTGTTTTTGAACAGATGGGCAGATTGCATTATGTGCTAGGAAGGCATACCTCCTTCTATTAATAAAAATCAAAGACGTATCATCTGATTTCAACAAACAAAACACAAATCGGTAATCCAAAAGGACAACAGACAGTTTTCTAATCTTGGATTCGACCATGACATGTACAAGTGTCTTTTCCTTTGTAGAAGGTCTTCACAGGATGGAAAATATGTCGATTGTTTTTGAAATGCGTAGCCCTTTGTGAAGCTCTATGCATGCACATGGAGAGAACATGGAGCACCAATGCAAACAATCCTACAGTTCAGAAGGGACCAGCATTTCAGAAATATAGATACAGCTCCACTTTCCACTGAAATCATATCCTATCGGCACTTAACAATGATTCCTTAAAAGTACATTCCACAAGGTTCCCAAGGAAATGTGCGTAGGACTGAGAAAGACTTCTCAGCCAACAAATTGTAAAATGACTGAGCACTTCAAAAACAATCAATGAACAGTTTATGGCAAAGCCAAGAAGGATTTATAGGTACCTGCATTTGCTGTGACTACATATGAGTTAGGCAGGAAAAAAAAACTACAAAAAGAACTCCTTCAATAATTTGTTTTTTTCTGAGAATTTCTGCTCATATGTCATTGTCATCTCCATCATCATCATCTCACTCCCCCTCCCCACCAAAAAAAGAAACTTTTTAGTCCTTACAGTTATCTGTACTCCAATACATAATGGAACCCTCTGTAAAGTTAAAGGTTGACTTTAATTCTAGTTCTGTCCAACTCTGGTGGGGGGGTGGTGGTTTTTATTGTTAGGTTTCATCCCTGACTGCACAAGTCTCCAGCTCTCAATGAGTAGTTAGTTTAGATAGATTAGAGTGAGAGACTCCTTCCCCAATTTCCTCAAGCAAGCTTATCTTAAGAAGAGGCTTAGATAGGGGTTGTCTTACTCATCTTTGCATGCCACTATCTCCTCCCCCTTTGAATACTTAGCAATGTGATCTCTTTAGGGAAAACATAACTTCCTCTTTAAAGGTATTTTTATTGCCCTGGCAAAAGTGATGTGGTCAGAGTTCACCATATTGGCTCTCTTCTCCTTTTGACTTCTCTAGAATGAGGAGGCATCTTGCCATTGTCCAGGCAAGATGTAGTAGATATAGTCACTTTTATTATTTTTCTTTTTCCTTAGAAGATAGCTCAGTGAAGCTAGTTAGCTCCAAGAACCTTTCCTATCTAGAATGGATTTCTTTTGTCTTTAATAAACATATTATTTTTGATCCTATAAAGCTGTAGATCTGCAATCCTGTTCCATCTTGTTGAATGGAAGCCAATCCTTGCTCACTACATGTATGTTTCTGCTGCTTATGAACTGTGCATCTAGCACTCTGCTATATTTTTGGTGGAATCACTCCCAGAGAGGGTTATTTTGAGTCTAACAGCTCCTGATTCCCAACACTTGTCTCCATTTCAAAGCTCAAGAGCCGGTGTTATCTGTAGACACCTCCAAGGTCATGTGGCTGGTCTAACTGCATGGAGCATTGCTTTGTTGTTCATTCGTTCAGTCATCTCCGACTCTTCATGACCTCATGGACCAGCCCACGCCAGAGCTCCCTGACAGCCGTCACCACCCCCAGCTCCTTCAAGGTCAGTCCAGTCACTTCAAGGATGCCATCCATCCATCTTGCCCTTGGTCGGCCCCTCTTCCTTTTACCTTCCACTTTCCCCAGCATAATTGTCTTCTCTAGGCTTTGCTGTCTCCTCATGATGTAGCCAAAGTACTTCAACTTTGTCTCTAGTATCCTTCCCTCCAATGAGCAGTCGGGCTTTATTTCCTGGAGGATGGACTGGTTGGATCTTCTCGCAGTCCAAGGCATTGCTACCTTCCTGCCAAAGCGGTATCTATTGATCTATTCACATTTGAATGTTTTCAAACTGTTAGGTTGACAGGAGCTGGGGCTAACAGTGGGAGCTCACCTGACTCCCCCAATTTGAACTGCTGACCTTTCTGTCAGCAAGTTCAGCAGCTCAGTGGTTCAACTCACTGTGCCACCAGGGGCTCCTGGAACCCACTGTATTTGTGGGATATACATTTCAGGAAACCATGGAAATTAGTGAATTGTATACTTAATGATACTTGGGCTGGAAGCATATTGTAGAATTGCACTGGAAGACCAAGGGCGTATTTACACTGAAAATGTAATGCAGCTTCACAGCACTTTAACTGACATTGCTCAATGCTATGAAATCATGGGAGTTGTAGTTTTACATGGTCTTTAGTCTTCTCTGCCAAAGTGTGTTGGTGTCTCACCAAATTACAACACATCTGATTCCATAGCACAGAACTATGGCATTCAAAGTGGTGCCAAACTGCATTAATTCTGCAGTGTAGATGTACCCCCCCCCCCCAAGAAGCCTACAAAGACCTGGGGGTGGAGGATATTTTTTGATGCATTGTTAAGTGAAACTAGATATCAAATCTGTGGATAAAGGGGTCATCCTGTATATGGACAATACTTGGCGAATACAAGACTAATGAATAAATTTCTCATTTTCAACAGAATTCCTTAACCAACATGGGCAGAAACTATGCTAACTGGAGGACTGGGTTGTGTCCCCAAAAAGGGAACTTATCCAAACTCTGTAATTCTCAGGGCCCTTCCGCACAGCCACATAACCCAGAATATCAAGACAGATAACCCACAATATCTGCTTTGAACTGGATTATCTGATTCTACACTTTTGTATAATCCAATGTGAATTTTATACAGCTGTGTCCATAAGGGGTTCCTAGGTGAGACTTCCAATGTAAATGCACTTTTAATGTCCTGTACAGTTCCTTGACCCTCCCAAAGACTTAAGGAAGCTGTAGAAATTATACAAAAAAAGACATCAGTCAAATGTGCTTAATTTACATAATTTATACAGTTCACTGTATTCAGCTTTTTTCAGTTCAGCATTTTATTTTTAGAACACATACTGTAGTCTTGTTTCCAATAACACACAATATCTATTTATGTCATTAAAAGGTTTATTCAATGAGGTTGTGAATTATTTGGTGTTGGGATGCTCACTATCCAAAGAAATGGCTGTATCCTTTCCAAAACAGGTTCTTGGGGTTTTTTTATCCTTGGTCTAAATCCTGTATGCACAAGAGGCCCAGAATCAGGGTTAACACATCTAATAATAGCCTGAAAATTAAGCTGCTACTAATCTTCCCTACTTTGCCTGATTGACATTCATGCTCAAAGATATATGAATTAGTCGTTCACTTATTACAGGGGTTCATATCCCCTCCCCAAACCCATAAAATAAAGAAAATAAGGAATTACGTACCATCTCTACATCAGAAACCGGCCCAAAACTGGTGACATAGATATCTGTTTTGACTTCAGTAACAGGACCTAATGTGTAAAAAGGAAGTGAGCAAGGAAAATCAAAATGTTTCAGGGTAAAAGGCAGAGAAACTGTACCGGCAAGTAATGCCACATCTTATGCAATTGTCACTTTGACGATTCATTGGACTAATCGGGAGGAAAATGCGCAGACAGCATGTTCTTCTAACCAAGTCTGCTGTACTTGGAGATTCTTGCATAATGTTGATTTTCATACAGTCCCCTTTGCTTACATAAGTATACTGGTGGAACTCATATATGGTTTTGTAAGTCACTGCTTCCCATTGATACAGGTAAGAATATGGATACATATGAAATCCTGTGCAAGGTATTTCAAAAAGTGGGTGGCTGATCCTTCAGATTATCACCACCAGCTCAATATTAAACAAAGGGATGTGGAATCTAGCATTCACAAAAGCTGGTCCATCCTAATGACATCAAACTATGATTTGAAGCTTCACCTACTTCTTTCTCTATTCTCCTCAATGCCCTCCTCTCATATATTGCACTCAATTAGGTCATGCTTACTAGTGTGTAATAGACCGTGGCTCATAATAACATCTAAATTAGCAAACCAAACGTACATTTTCCAGGTTCTGGACCTGTTTTACACAAATCACAATTTCCCTGTCTGGGCAGTTTGCCACCAACCACAAAGTCCAACTTAACTGACAAGTGTGAGGAAAATAGGGTTAGATCTATATGCAAAAAGAATAATTTGTTCCTGCTAAATTCAGATAGAACTGATAATGCGAGTATGGAATTAAGCTACAATTAAGTGAATATCTGCTAGTTAAAAAAATAGCGTGGTGCTTTATTTGAGTTTGGCAATCTGGAAACATTGTTGTTTATGTTTATTTATTTATTTATTTCGAGCATTTCTACCCCGCCCTTCTCAACCCCCGAAGGGGCACTCAGGGCGGCTAACAAAAGGCACAATTCGATGCCAGCAATACACATAGTAAGATAAAATACATAGCAGCAACAATTATAAAATAATTAAAACAATCCAATTATACAATACAACTAATAAAAAACAAATTAGTGATCAACGTTCGCCAAGTTCGAAATCCGTAAGTTCATTCCGCATTGTCATAATCCTATCCAATTCTAGTCGTCATTGTCCTTTGTCTATCTGCCAGATTACCCAAAGACCTGGTCCCATATCCATGTTTTTAGTTTCCTTCTAAAAGAGAGGAGGGATGTCGATGATCTAATTTCCCCGGGAAGCGAATTCCACAGGCGAGGGGCCACCACCGAGAAGGCCCTGCTCCTTGACCCCATGTTGTTGAACTGTTTTTGATTAATTGGAAGATTTCAAAGTGTATGTTTTAAAGCTGTGACTATGTGTTTGTAAAGCTGCCTAGCATGTGTAGAGTTAACAGACCACAGAGGTTTAAGTTATCCTAGAAAGGACAGTAGAAATGTTTTCCTGCTTCCTCTGATGAGAGCAGACTTGAATCATCACAAAGGAATTTGATAGGTGTGCCTTTACTGATAAGAAGGAGAAAGCAATCACCATCTTTCAGAGATATTCCTGCATGAGTACGGACGTGCTTGCTATGTGCTATGCTTGTGTCAATGGTGTAAACAAACTAATTACTTTATGGCGGCAATCAATTCAACTTTTAGTACCATTTCGACAATGGTTATGGGCCCAGCACACTTCTACAGTTTATTTGTTCAGTTGCTTCCAATTCTTAATGAACTCATGGACCAGCCCTCATGATAGCTCCCTAAAACATACTTCCTGGTAAATGAACTTTTATGACATTTCACAACAAATGAACATTTCACAGCAACATGATCATGTCCCACATCCATGTGTGCTGTGTCAGGAGGGCTGATAGTTGGATGGCATTAGATAAACCCCTGTGCCAGCAGGACTGAAGATCAACAGGTCGCAGGTTCGAATCCGGGGAGAGCAGATGAGCTCCCTCTATCAGCTCCAGCTCCTCATGGACATGAGAGAAGCCTCCCACAAGGATGATAAAACATCAAATCATCCAGGCATCCCCTGGGCAACGCCCTTGCAGACGGCCAATTCTCTCACACCAGAAGCGACTTGCAGTTGCTCCTGACACACTAAAATTGACTATTACAACCCCAGAAACTAATAATTTCCAATTTTCTCCACTCTTAGGGGGGAAAGAAATATTTCTTTGGCGTATGGGATTATCACTTGATATTCAGATACACCAAAATGTTTCTGGAAAGTATTTTGCACAGAAAAATACTCTCCATTTGAACAGAGAATTGTGAATTTTCAAACAACCAGGAACTTTTGCACAAAACATGTTTTTTACACAAAAACCAGCATTTTTTGTGCAAAATTGCTTTTTAATTTTTTGGAAAATTGTCAGGATATGTTCTTCTCATTGAAGATAACATTTCCACCCTTCTTTCCTCCACTTAACCAGTCTGTGACCATCAGAACCAGGACTCCTGTCTCAAGTCTTTGTTTCAGACTCACTCATTGGCAGGGTTTTTCATCCTCCCTGCACCCCAGTCAGAAGCTAAGTGGGTTTCCTTTGCCTAATCTGGTGACAGGCTATTAAATTAGGCAGTGGTGCTGAAGGTGGGGAGGGTTGGGTCAGGATATTAGAATCATAGAGTTGAAAGAGACCACATGGGCCATCCAGTTCAACTCTCTGCCATGCAGGAAAAGTGCAATCAACGCAACAGATGGTCATGCAGCCTCTGTTGAGAGCATCCAAATAATGATCTCCAACACACTCTCTGAGGCAGAGAGTTCCACTGTTGAACAGCTCTTGTAGTCAGGAAGTTCTTCTTAATGTTCAGGTGGAACCTCCTTTCCTGTCATTTGAACCCATTTCTCTCTAGCCTCCAGGGCAGTAGAAAATAAGCCTGCTTCCTCTTCCTTGTGACATCCTTTCACATATATAACCACAGCTATTGTCTCCTCTCAACCTTCTCTTCTATGCAAGCATAACCCAATCTAGGACTTCAGCAAGTGGGTTTTTTTTGTTTTGCAAAAGCCTACAGTCCTCATTTTTTTAAAAAAACCCATACTGCTCTGCAGAATAATTTTCTGAAACACTTTAAGATGTATGACTCCTTGGCAAGAATATCACAAGATTCCCTCTACTGTATATTTTCATCCCGACTGTGTTTCTTCAGGTAACCTGTTTTTCAGTCAAAACAAATAATGGCAAATATTCTTTCCATCCTTGCAACAACTTCTTGTCCAATGATTTTACTCAGCAAAACTTGCTTAGTTCTAGCATTTCTTTTTGTTTTATTGCAAGCCACTTTACGTTGCTCTCCATTAAAGAAATGTAGACTATGAAATATTAATTGTCAAAAATCACATTGCACTTTGGAATGAGAATCTGAGTATCTTCTAGAGTTCACTTCATAAAAGCACCAAACTATAATTTAGCTCATCGAGTTACTACTGTTTCTCCTAACACATTAGCCCTTGAACAACCCCTCTCTGCCCAATGCACTTTATGATGCCAGTGTTTTCTCAAGGTTCACGGGTTCAAAGTTAGAAAACATATCAGAAGGAATCCAGAAAATATTTACATGTTCCTCAACCCTTCACCAAATGATTCTGTACAAACCAGGATGACCCATTTCACTAGAAAACTGTGTCTACCATATTGCTGAATGCAACACAATCAATGAACAACAATCTTAGATGTCTTCTTTAGGGACTTGGCTTTGAAGGCAGGTGATGATCAACAGGTTGCAAATTTCAGCTGATTTAATGACAGCAAATATTACACAATCCACTGTAAGGATCTTACTTTTAATTGGGCAAATTCTGATCAGTGCAGCCTGTTTAAATGGGTGGGTTATTACTTTGAAAATCTAATATATGGGCTTGGAAAGACACTAGTGGGCATTTTATTCCCTCTCTTAACAGCTCCCCTTTCTCTTTCTCATTGCTATTTCCATGCTATCTCTACATTGTAACACCCTCATAATATATACATAGGTAAAGGTTTTCCCCTGACTTGAAGTCCAGTCATATCTGACTCTGGGGTGTGGTGCTCATCTCTATTTCTAAGCTGGAGAGCCAATGTAGACACCTCCAACATCACGTGGTCGGCATGACTGTATGGAGTGCCGTTACCTTCACACCGGAGCGGTACCTATTGATCTACCCACATTTGCATGTTTTCTGCTAGATTGGCAGAAGCTGGGGCTGACAGTGGAAGCTCATGAGGCTCCCAGGATTTAAACCTGCAACCTTTTGGTCAAGGAGCTCAACAGCTCTGTGCTTTAACCAACTGTGCCACCGGGGGCTCCAATATATATATATATATATATATATATATATATATATATATATATTCAGACTTTTGAAGTCTGAAAAAGCCATTAGTGATAGATAGATAGATAGATAGATAGATAGATAGATAGATAGATAGACAGACAGACAGACAGACAGACAGACAGACAGACAGACAGACAGATAGATAGATAGATTAGATATCACTATCACTAATGGCCTTTTCAGACTTCAAAATTTCTTTTTCCTTGAACAGGTAGATTAGAAATTGAAGGTAGGATACATTGAAGCTTAAGTATACAATCTTATTGACTTATAGACAGACAAATCTTATGCATCATTTTTTGCACCAACCTTTCTTGCATGTACTCAAAATTGCTTTTTGCCAAGTCTGAACTTGGTAGAAGCTCTTTAATTAGATGAATGGAGCATATACCAGGAGCACCTGGGTCTAAACCAGACGGTAGCTTCCTTTTTAGAGATGCAGTGCAGTCATTATATAATTTGCTCTAAATTTTGAAGGAGATATCCAAGGTGCTTAAGCTTCTGTGACAAAAGGGTTCAGCACCTTTTCTCCTTTAAAGTTTAGACTAAAAGGCACAGCAAATTAATTGCCCAATAGCACAATCAAAAGGAGAGAAATGAGCTACACCAGATCCAATCCATGGAAATAGCCACAATGCTGGCACAAAGTTAGATCATAACTTACAAATGATATAAGCAATTTGCCATGCACCAAGGCTGGAAG